GGGAGTCTGCTTCTCCCTGTGACCCTCCCCCCTCTCATGTGCTCTCTCTCATTCTCTCTCTCTCAAATAAATAAATAAAATCTTTAAAAAAAAAAGATTAATTAATTGTTAAAAATAAATTGAGAACAGATTTTTTTTTTTAATCTGAGAGAGAGAGAAAGAGTATAAGTGGGGGGAGGAGCAGAGGGAGAGGAACAAGCAGACTCTGTGCTGAGTGGGGAACCCGACACAGGGCTCGATCCCATGACCCTGAGATCATGACCTGAGCTGAAATCAAGAGTCAGACCCTCAGCCAACTGAAACACCCAGGGGCCCTGAGAACAGATTGTAGAAACAGACTCATTAATATAGAGGAATTTCATTTAACAGCTCAAACAATACTACTGATTTTCCCTCAAAAAACCTACTTCCCCTTTTACCCACATGATGATTCTAGGTCTTTCCTCTTTCTCCATGCTCTCTCTGTTCCTCCATTCTTTATTTCAGCAAATACATACTCAATATGTACTATGTGCCCAGCACTGTGCTAAGCACTGGGTACACAATAGCAAACAAGACAGATCTGGTTCCTTCACTCGAGGAGCATAAGAGTTTAGTGGGACAAAAAGACAATAAGCGTTTTAACAATGGTGCGGTGCCAAGATAATTCAACAGGGATAGAATCATCTTTTCAACAAATCATGCTGGGACAACTGGATATTCGCACGTAAAAAAATGAAGCTGGACCCCTTCCTTACATTAATTCAAAATACATCATGGACCTATACATAAAGAGTTAAAACTATAAAATTCTAGTAAGAAAATAAAGGAGTAAATCTCCATGATCTTGGCTTAGGAATGATACCTTTCTTAGATACAGATACCTTTGAAAAGCACAAGCAACAAAAAGAAAAACGGATAATAAAAAATGTTGGCAAGAATGTGCAGAAACAGACTGTTGAATCTCAGATCTGTACCTCTGAAACAAATAATGCAATATATGTTAAGAAAAAAAAAGAAGAAGAAGAAGGTAGCGGGA